GATCCATTTATAATTAATAGAATTTGGGAAGAATTTAATAATACACTGGACAAAAAATTTTTAAATTTTCTTGGGTAGAATAGTTTGTGGGGTGAGTTGTGCAAAGGACCTATCCAAGTTGGGTCGGCGCGCGTCAGGTGTTTAACCGTTGTGGGATCTGATAGTGAGGTGCTGGCCAGACCCCTTATATAGCTTCCTTGGATACTTTACTTTCATAGTTCCTTGATAATGTGAGTAGTCACGAAAGCGCTTGGAATTTCTCTATTCTTTCAGAGTGGTTGTTTTGCATATTCTGAAATCACTGTTTACTGTGATCATATTGCATATATAAATATTATATATATATTATATTATTATATATATATATATATATATATATATATATATATATATCTATATATCTATTATATTATATATATATATCATATATATTTATATATATATCTATATATATATTATATATATATATATATATATATATTATATTATAAATTATATATATATTATATATATAAATCTATATATATATATTATATATATATATTATATATATATATATATATATATATATATATATTATATCTATATATATATATATATTATATATATATATATCTATATATATATATTATATATCTATATATATATATATCTATATATATATATATATAATCTTTATTATATATATATATATTATATATATTATAATATATATATATATATATATATATATATTATATATATATATATATCTATATATATATATCTATTTATATATCATTATATTATATATATATTATATATATTATATATTTATTATATATATATTTATTTATTATATTATATATTATATATTATATATATATCATATATATATATCTATATATATATATCTATATATATATATATATATATATATCTATATATATATATATATATAATATTATATATATATATCTATATATATATATCTAAATATATATATCTATATATATATATTTATATATATATCTATATATATATATATATATATATATATATATATATATATATATATCTATATATATATATATATATTATATATATTATATATATTTATATTATATATATTATATTTTATATATTATATATATATATATATTTATATATATTTATATATTATTTTATATATTTTATATATATATCTATATATATATTTTATTATTCTATATATTATATCTATATATATATATCTTTTATATATATATATCTATATATATATATATATATATATATATATATACAGTGACCCCGGTTAACGATATTTTTTCATTCCAGAAGTATGTTCAGGTGCCAGTACTGACCGAATTTGTTCCCATAAGGAATATTGTGAAGTAGGTTAGTCCATTTCAGACCCCCAAACATACACGTACAAACGCACTTACATAAATACACTTACATAATTGGTCGCATTGGGAGGTGATCGTTAAGCGGGGGTCCACTGCATATACATGTATCAATGAAATCACGAAAAAAGTGATTTTGAATCATTAACGAAACTGCGGCTGGCCAAGACTGATCCTGTGTCACCTTGACCTGCCCAATGGGAAGCCAGACAACGTTCGCGATGCTCTAACCATAAGTATTGGTTGTGCAATGGTTAGAGCATTGCAAATGTTGTCTTGCTTCCCACGGGGCAGGTCAAGGTGACGCAGGATCATGTCTCGGCCAGCCGCAGTTTCGGTATGTATGTATATAAAGAACTAACTAATTAAGTGTTAATGTTATGACTGAGGGAACACAGGCTTGCTGGCTTAGAAATTAGCATACAGGTGTAGCGGCAATACATAGATTTTAGAAGATGTTTCAAACTAAGTGAGATAATAACTGTTCTAGACCTTAATTTTACAATTGGAGACACTGTTCCGGAAGGCATAGCAGAAAAAAATGGATGCCAGGGAGAGAAAATGACCAACTTTCTTATTTTACCCACCCTCCCAAATTTCTCCACCAATTTTTGCAGTCACCTTACAATCTCTTAAAGAACTGTGTCATTTGCATGATACTTCCCACTTTATATCAGCTTCATTATCTTTTAAGCCCAAATCTCTCTCTAACATTCTAGCATTCACTTCTTTAACAACCCATCAATAAATATTAAACAACAAAAGCGACATCACACAACCATACCTAAAGCCTACCTTTACCAGATAATAGTCTCCCCTTCTCTCCTGCGTACGCTAGGCCTTAGACAAGGATGTGTGATGTCACAGTAGTTGTTTAATATATTTATAGATGGGCTGTAAAAAAAATGAATGCTAGAGTATGGGAAAGATGCAGGCTTAAAAAGTAATGAAACTGATATGAAGTAGAGGGGTCACAGTTGCTCTTTGCCGATGACACAGTGAGTTATGAGAATCTGAAGTGACATTGCAATGGTTGGTGGAGACGTTTGAGAGAGTATACCTTTACCTTTGATATACCTCTGATGAATTTTGAGTCTTTCTACTCCTAGAGCCCAGCCACGTCAAAGAGGAAATTAACTCATTATCATTTATCCCTGGCACTCAAAACTTTTCTGCTAAATGGCCAGCCAAGGAGACTTGCCAATACTGGAAACACTACAAAATAAAGAACTTAATATAGGGTACAGTAATAATAAAATAATGTCAAAATTCTAATGGTACAAATACAGATGAAAGCAAACAATCCAGAATTCAACAATATATGGGAGAGCATGGGCAATTTGAAAAGACAAATGAAGAAATAAATAATATACAAGGGGGGGATTATTAATGGAAAGTCTAGAGTCCTTGTAATGGACAATTTCAAACAAAGAAACAGACTGCATAGCCTACAAAGTTGGAATGGTAAACACATGGCCAGCCAAATTCCTCTAGTGGCAAGCTTCTTCATTCATCAGCCCATTAAAAGATGTTACAGGAATGAGAAGGAAATGTGGTATCAACATTGGACCAAAGACCAATATCACCTACCTTGTTCTATCGGAAATTACATATACAGTGGTACACTACCAAATATAATTTGCAGGACAAAAAAGAAAAGCACAGACAGGAATAACTTGATAACAAGTATGGAAATTATAACAATGAGATATATATAAAACTTACCAAGAGTTCTCTACTGGTATGAAACAATTTATTCCAAAAAAGAAAAAAGAAAAAGATACCCATGAAGAATGGTTTAACAAAAGGTGCTAGAGCACCATGAATAATGAAATAAAGGACTTGAAATCAATACAGAAAATACACTAATTCTGTATGGTAGTGTAAAATGGCAATGAGGGAGGAAGAAACTACTTCAACTATGAATAAGGAATGAGGGACAAGATCAAGATGGAACCAAATTTTTAATACAGCTTTCTAAAAAGCAAACTAAGTATAAAAAGAACTAAATTGAAGAATGAAATAAGTGAGATACCGTATATATGACTGCAGTGTGTGTTTATGGAAGAGGACACTACAAGCAGTATTGGAGATTTAAACCAAAAACAAAAATTGTAATGGAGGACACTGAGATATTTAAAGATGAGGTAAACAAAGATCTACAGAATGTTGACAAGAAAAAATAAACAGGACTAGACAAAGAAACCATCATGGCATTTAAAGAATGAGTAGAAGAACTAAGTTCTCTCAAAAACTGGGGGATTTCATAACAGGGAAGCAAACTGGTGGACAAATGGACAAAGCTGGGAAGTACAGGTAACTAAAAACCAGTGGAATATGATGCTTCAGGTACTACTGTACTAATTGTGTTGAAGGCTTGCCTCATTTAACCAGACAGTATTTGAAAATAAAGGGCTCTCATAGCTAAGTACTTACAAAGCAAAAAACTACTAACTGGCAAGCATTTTGGTTTTTAATCCCTAAGCTCATGCACTGTATATCAAATCTACTAAGCTACTCAGTCACAAAAATTATTTAAGAATGAAATGGGTGGGCAAACTGCACTGACACATTTACATTTCAAGAAAACTTATCTGAAGATACAAAACGTTGGAAAGACAATAGGAAGAATAATGCAAGTGAACAATGATAAGGTATGATGTCCTGAAGGTGTAAAATCACAAGATTCACAAATGGGTAAATGTTAAAGACTGTTCACAGTATATGTTAGACCAAAATTGGGATATGCAGCAGTGGTGTGTTACTGACACCTAAAAGACATCTGGCCCAGGTACAACATAGTTCAAAGAGAAACTAAATGACTTCTTGAGCCAAAAATCTGAATTTATGAAAAAAAGACATGTCATAAATGGCTGATGGGAGGAAAAGAGAAGAAAATTGAATATCACTTAAGATTATTAAAGGATAGGAAAGAATTGATAAGAAAAACTTGTTAATATTATACCACACAACGAGAACACGTGACCATGGCTATAAACTTTGTTAATACTATACCTCACAACAATGACAACATGAGACAGTGGCTTCAAACTCTGCTAATACTATACCTCACAACAATGACACAAGACCATTGCTATGACCTAAGTAAGAAGTGCTGCCGAAAGGATACCACAACTTTCTTTACAGTGATATAAGAAAAGAATGAATTACTAAACGACATAATAAAAACTACACCCAATGGAAACTTTAAAAATTATATGATAAATTAAATATAGAAGAGATTACATTATGAGCTTCGCTCTGCTCCTGTAACTAGAAACAGGTATACTGTACTGCAATTGCAAATAGGTAATTACATACATGTATACATGTAACACAAAACATTGCTCACCACCTTAAAAACAAAGTCAAAGGCTAACATTTTTGTGCTGAACACATGGCATTTGACAATGACTAGTAAGCACCGTCGCTGCCTGTGAAACATCTGACCTGAGGGGACAGTAGATCATACGGTAGATCATACTGACTACCATCGTTAACTACTACTCGCTAAACCTCTCACTGCAAACCAAAACATACGTATTTTTTTTCTCCCTGGCTTATAATTAGTGTCATAACCTGCAAACTCGAGATTAAACTAATTGTGATATTTACGTGTGTCGGACTATGAAGCTGGTTGACCCGCGATAACTGTGGAATAGAGAGAGTTAATTAATGCTAGTGTCAACGTGAACTTTACTTTGAGGCTTGCCAACCCGTGCTGCCTGCGAGAGAAGGAGAGGGGCCAGCTCACCTCAAATAACACTTACGGCTTACTGTATAGCCCTATTCGTGGTAGGTACTCATGGCTTATAACAAGAAAGCTCCACCTATACTGTGCTACCGCCACACACTTTTAGAGAGAACTAATGTGTTGCCACCATATCTTTTCTACCAATCCACTATCCTACATACACGAACTGCTGAATGCACACAAAAATAAAATGGAATAAAATATTAAAAGCATAACTATAAAGCATTCATACAAAGAGTTCTGCAACATATATAAAAAAGGAACAAAACAGGTCATTTTAAATAGGAAAGTGAAAAAATACAGCTATGTGAAGTGTGTGATACTGTACAGCAAAATATTGCATTAACAGACCCCAATTTAGCAAATTTCAGATTTGATGGACTCAGAAGCAATAAAGTCCATTAAATTCAGAATAGTTCATTATTCTTACAGTTCACTGAGTAAATTCATTTTGGATTTAACAGATTTTGTTTGTTCAATCAGAATTGTTTGTTCTTTTTATGGAAATACCAGATTTAATGACAAAGTCTGTTAAATCCAGAATAATCCATTATTGTGCAGCAGCTAGGTAAATTTATTTTTGGGTTCAACAGATTTAATCCTGTTGAAGCTTTACAGCAAAATCATTCAAAATATTACCAACATCACTCACTGCACCGAAGATTACTACTGAAACACCATCCATCAATGATCCCTGAAAGTTAGAGCTCTTAACCTCACAAAGAACAATATCTCCAAAACACACATCGTCAAAGGACACAAGTGCAACTAACGTGACATTTTACTGTGGCAACGTTTCGCTCTCCAGGAACTTTGTCAAACACACATCCATTACACAACTACTGAAAACCTGAATTACAACGCCTGCACATAAAATTTTAATTGTTCTCATATAAATCTACACAGGCAATGTAAAACTATTCATTAAAAAAGATACAATTAAGTTCCTTTCCATCTTAAACTTCATAGACAAGACAATTGCCCTTACCTTTCACATCCATAGTTAACAAGGCCTTCACCACAACAAAAGCTCAAAGAAGTCCTCTACCATAACAAAAGTTCAAACAAGTAAATAAACAGTCTTGGGAGAAACTCCAGAGAGCACTGCGCCTGTTTCTTGCCGCCTAAAGAAAGGTGTCTGCAAAGTTATCATCAGCAGGTGGGGTGCAACTTCATTGCATTATTTAGAAGTAACCCAAAAACCAAGGTATAACAACAATGAAAACTCCCCCCTTTACCCCCCCTCACAAATTTGCAAACTGTATTAAGCTTGGTGCAGTGAAGGTCAAACTCATTGGCTATGATACCATCATTGCAAAAGCAATACAAGTAGAAATTTCCTTATGGTTGATCAGGAGGAAAAAAGAGTTGACTATGATAACCACATAAAATATTATAAAAGTATACAAAAGAATAGATAAGGAAGATTGGCTTAACTCTCAAACTGGAGTGCAACTTATTATTTTATCCCAGCTCCTTTGTGATATTACTAATGACCAGTGTCATAACCTGCAAACTTGAGATCAAATTTATAGTGATATTTACATGTGATGGACTATGAATCTGGTTGACCTGCAGCAACTTGGGATAGAGTTTATTAATACTGTTAGGTTTGCTGACCCATGCTATCTGTGAGAGAGAGAGAGAGGTACCAGCTCAAGCTGTAGGCAAATGTGGCATGTGCAAAAAAGGCCTACCTATACTACCATCACAAACTTCTAGTCAGTGAAGCTGCATCACTAATGCTCTCCCTACCCCTTTATCCCACCACACTCGGTGTTTGCAATTTAATATATAATACAAGGAAATAAAGTGGAATAAAGCATTACAGGGGACAGTCATAAACAAATTATACAAGAGTTTTGCAACACAAAAATTAAATACAACATTCTAAATAAAAATAAAGAAAAGTGAAATAGAGAATTGCTTAACCAGATTCAACAAGCTAGAAATGAAAATATAAATGAAAGGAGAAACAAATGGTTTTGCATCTCTTAATAAAATTTGAAGAATCTAGGTTAACTGTGAAACTTTAGACAAATTGATTGGAACAATATGACAGGAAATCTTGAGTCTAGTGACTTTCTTGATATGATTCAGGATTGCTTTTTAAAACAGTTTGTGACAGAACCAACTAGAGGAAACAATTTGCTTGACTTGGTTCTTGCCAACAAGGAATCACTAATTAATAATCTTGAGGTTAATGAGCTTGGGGAAAGCAATCACAAACCACTTAGTTTCAATATATCATGGAATTGCCCAAATAAATGCAGTCAAGTCTCTGTCCCAGACTTCCACTTGACCGACTGCATGTGACTGAGAAATTACCTGGGCGGGCTAAATTGGAACGACCTGACTATGGGTCAGGTAGGTGGTGTTGGTTGCCAATATGACATTTTTCAGAGCATAGTTCTAGTTGCCCAGACAACTTATGTTCCAAGTACGGAAATCAGATCAACCAAACAGATAAACAATAGATTAAAACATCTCATTGGTCAAAAGAAAGGCATATACATGTATAGGCATATCAAAAGAGGGGCTGGGCAGTTAAGAAATCAATATATTCAATTTGAGAGAGAAATAAGAATGGGAATAAGAAAAGCTAAATGAGATTATGAGGCTAAAATGGAAAGAGATTCAAAGAATAACTCAAAAGGTTTCCATCAAGTATATAGAAGTAAGACTGGGGACAAGACTGGCCCACTCAAAAGTAACTCAGGTCAGATCAGACAGTGATAAGGAAATGTGTGAAATTTTTAACTCTTATTTCCTCTCGGTTTTTACGCAAGAAAATACTAGCATATTCCAGAAACTATAAATTATGTAGAACAGGACCTGGAGTTTACCTGGAGAGGGTTTTGGGGGTCAACGCCCCCATGGCCTGGTCTGAGACCAGGCCTCATGGTGGATCAGGGTCTGATCAACCAGACTGTTACTGTTGGCCGCGTGCAAGCTGACGTACAAACCACAGCCCGGTTGGTCAGGTACTGACTTTAGGTGCCTGTCCAGTGCCTCCTTGAAGACAGCCAGGGGTCTACTGGTAATCCCCCTTATGTATGTTGGGAGGCAATTGAACAGTCTTGGGCCCCGGATACTTATTATGTTGTCTCTCAGTGTACTCGTGGCACCCCTGTTTTTCATCGGGGGAATGTTGTATCTCCTGCCGAGTCTTTTGCTTTCATATGGAGTGATTTTCGTGTGCAGGTTTGATACCAATAATCTATGCACGATTAGAGTAACTGGTGACATGGTCCTCAAACAAATAGAGAAATTAAAACCAAACAAATCCCCAGGCCCTGTTAAACTGTTTGCAAGGGTTTTAAAAGAATGTAAAAAGGAGATTATCAAACCTTTGGCTAAACTTTTCAACATATCACCACAAACTGGCATGGTGCCATTTAAGTGGAAAATGGCAAATATAATGCTGTATATATTTACAAAGCAGGAGACAGGTCCTTAGCTTCAAACTATAGATCAATAAGCCTTACCTCCATACTAGGAAACTTTATGGAATCTATAATTGCCTAGGCAAGGGGCGGTCCTGCCTTACGAATTTTTTAACTTTTTTCAACCAAGGTAGTATTTGATGAGGTAGATCATAGTAATGAATATGATATTGCATATATGGACTTCAGTAAGGCTTTAGATAGAGTTCCACATCAGAGGTTATTGAGGAAAATTAAAGCACACGGAATTCAAGGAGAAATTTTTTCCTGGGTAGAGGCATGGTTGACAGATAGGCAGCAGAGTGTTTGCATTAATTGGGAGAAATCAGAGTGGGTGCACTTCATGAATGGTGTTCCACAGGGGTCAGTGCTAGGCCCTTTGTTGTTCACAATCGATATAAAAGACACTGATGAGGGAATGCATAGCAACATTAGCAAGTTTGCTAATGACACCAAAATAGGTCGCCTAATTCATTGTAATGAAGACATTAGAGTACTCCAGGAAGATTTGAACAGACTGATGCAGTGGTCGGAGAAGTGACAGATGCAGTTTAACATAGTGCTCGTCACAGCTTTTCGCCGCGTGAGTGCCCCGGCATAATGCCATGGCGAATATCAAAGGCCTACCATACAGGGGGGTCTTTTTTTCGTCAGTGCATTGTACCGGTAGCAGCCACTAGCACGATATCACGGCCTGCCACCATACTCCACAGTGACTCCCCAGTGCTCACGTGGCTGCCATGGTGAGAGGAAGTGTTGCACTTTTGTCTCTCATCCGCCCCATCTTTTGTCCGGTGTTCCCTTTGGTTTTGGGGCTATACATGTTTGATTAAGGGTAAAAGGAAGTCTTTAACACCTGCAACTATAGGGCTTCACAAAGTCGGGCACTAGATGAAAGAAATAGTGGAAAACGGTGTGTGTGAGCATTCAGTGAGAAACTGGGTGCAGCGTTTCAAGGCTGGTGGCAGTGTCGAGTTACTGTCTGCCAAACCTTGGCCTGGCCCCTCAAAGAAAATATCTGTTCGTACCTTAACTGTGTTAAAGAAGCAGTTAGAGAGAGTGTACCTAAGATAACTGCTAGAGAATTGAAAGAAAAGAACCCACATCTTCTCTCAGAGGTGTCTGTAAGAACTGTGAACAGACATGTGTTAGAACTGGGATACAGAAATCACCGCCAGGCTAAGAAACCGATTCTCCCCAAGCCACAGAAGAAACGTAGGCTGGATTATGCAAAGAAATATCTTCACTGGAATCCTTAACAGTGGTCTAAAGTGCTTTGGAGTGATGAAGCAACCTTCACTGTCACCTGTAACCATGGTAGACATGTGTACCGGCCCAGAAGCAGTGACCCGCTAGACCCAAGCTACACTTAGACTCGCTCATGGTTTGGGGGTGTTTCAGTGTTCAGAGTGTTGGTAAACTCATTGTGCTTCCCAAAAACCAGTATATGA